TGGGGGTGTCACGGCATCCACTGAGAGATACCGCTTTGAGTGGAAGAGCCGGGGGGCCGTGGTCCCTCCATGGTCTATTCCATTCTAGATGTAAGGAGTAGAGGCTCTGCCTTTGGCAGGTTCAAAGGCAAGGACTGAGAGCCACAGGAATCTAGGAATCTGAGGCCAAGCTGGGTTCCATAGCCAGTGAAGAACCAATCCCCCCGGGAGCAAGAAGTAAGGAGCCGTCTCAGGGAGGACCACCGGGCCCCAGCACGGCAGAAGGATTCATCCGGCAGCAACACTACCTTCGGAGGTAAAGCCGGCGGGATTAGCACCACACAGGAACCGTGCCGAGCTCCCAATACTCGTAGCAGGCCAGGCTTGAGAGGACGTGTTTGTGTCTGTTCTTGCCGTGTCTTTGGAAAAGAGAATGAAGTCATGCAGCTTGGTGGGGATTCAGAAAGACACGTGTTCAAATCCAGCCCCAGACACTAGCTGTGTGACCCTGGGCAAGTCACTTGACCTGTTTGCCCCAGCCTCCTCAACTATGAAATGAGGATAATAACAGTGGCACCGCTTCCCAGGGTTGTGGTGAGGATCTCATGGGATAATCTTCTAGCAGCACTCAGCACAGTACCTGGCACATAACAGGTGCCTCATAACTACCTGTTCCCTAAATATCCCTGTGTAAAGACCGCCCAGTGTTGAGTGAATGGGGCGCTACTCACAGGTCCCTAACAAATGGGGGTGCAGCAGGGGGATGTGTGCCAACAGCGGAGAAGAGGCACCTCACACACTCTCAGGGTACCGCTGTGCTCTGTGGGGACACGAAGGCCACCTGGTCTCAAGCCTGGGACCAGAGTTTCCCTCACCACATGGACACCATCCCACTGGACCCTCACATCCTCCAAGGCAGGTCATTCTGAGGTCTAAAATGACTCGCCCAGATGTGGGATTAGAAGTCGGGTCACCCCGACTCTGTGACCCACCCGCCTTTGGCAGGGCGTTCACCGTGTGGACATACGTGTACATTGGGGGCCGGTTCCCCATCTCTTTGGCCGATGCCCTTTTGTCTCCCGATGGCAATCCCCCAGCTCCTCATTTAATTGTGATCAACCATCCAAACATTTCCCAAAGCACCGAGTGACAGTGTCCCCGCACCCAAGGGTCCCCAGACTGACTCACACATGGCTCAGCCTCTTGGAAACCTGGGTCAAAGGGCTGGGTCTGAGAGGACAGCATGTCCTGCACCGGTTAAACAGGGTGTGGCTTCTGGACTTAGTCAAACCATCTTAACAAAGGCAGCTGGATCCTGTCCCTCCCTGACTGCCCAGCTCGGCTCAGCAGAAAGCAGTGGGAAAGGAAGGAGGCCTGAGGCTTTGAAAGCCACCCAAGCAGCCCCACCCACCCAGGCCAGCTCTGGCAGAGTTCAGTGAGGGCCCAGCTGGCTTCTCCAACACCCAAGCCCCTGGAGAGGAGGCCGTCTGAGGAGAGGGGAACAAGGGGCTTCTGGGGAGCAGCCCCCTGACCATCAGCTGTTGCCGGGTCACAGGCAGAGGAAGAGAGGCCTCTCATTAGCTGGCTAATTATGCTGGGCCACGTTTAGCATCTGAGCTGGAAGAAGAGCGAGGCTTCGATCCCAGGAGCCCCGAGTGTAACAGTGGAGCAGAATGAAATATTCATGGATGCCCTCCTTTACAGACAGACTCCAGCTGGCACAATTTCTGTTTGGGTAGAAGCAGAGTATTCAGCACACTTCAGAGGGTTCCACGTGAGCTGGGCCACGAAAGACCGACAGAAAAGGTGTTTGGGGGCTTTAGCCTGTGGCCCCCTGGCACCAAGCCGCCGGGGAAGGTGTGATGCTTGCCTTCGCATCCCCAGATGCTGTTTATTACCACTGACTCTCCTTCCTGCACCCCTTGCCCTGGGGGAGGTAAAGAGCCCCAGCAGAGTGGGGGGCCCATCAATGCTCCCTAGGACTCAGTTTCCTTATCTGGAAAATAAGAGGAGTGGGTTAGACAGCTTCAGAGGGCCTCTCTAGTGTTGGAGCAGGATTTCTTAATTTGGGGTTCACTGACCTCCAAGATGGTCCATGAATAGATTCTAGGACAGTCTGTGAATCTGGATAAAAATTATATCATTATCTCAAAATAAAGTTGGGTTTTTTAATCCTTTGTATTTTATTCTATGCATTTAAAACCATTCTTCCAAGAAGGCTTGTCCCACAGTCTTCCCCAGACTCTTTGGTGCCAAAGGGGTCCAGATAACCTCCTGAGAGAGGGTCCTATGATCCTTTGCTCTGGCTGAGGACCACCATCACTTTAGTTCTGGATTCCTGAAAAATAAGCCTTGAAGGACAGGAAAGCAGTGGAGAGAAATGCTGAATGGAGGCTGTGAATCAGGGAGAGAGCAGAGACCATCGCCCTCCGAGGGTCTGTCTTCTCCAGCCAGATGGGGACACGAAGCATCAGGTACGGCTGAAAGTGATTCAACAGCAACAGCAGCAAATTCACTGACCTGAGTCACTGAAAGGATGCGCCGTGAGGAGAGGGCCCATCTTTGTTCTGTTTTGTATCTCTCTGCTTCTCTAGTACCCAGCCTAGTGCCCAGGCGTAGGAGGTGCTGAATGTGTGTGCTGAGGGACACATGTGCAGAGGTGAAGAGTCATGTATTAAGTGTCTACTGGATGCCAAGTACTGGGCTTTGTTGTCATTGTTCAGTCGCTTTCAGTCACGTCCGACTCTTCACGGCCCCATCTGGGGTCTTCTTGGCAAAGATATTGGAGGAGTTTGCCATTTTCTTCTCCAGCTCATTTTATAGATGAGGAAATTCAGGCAAACAGGGTGAAGTGACTTGCCCAGGGCCTGAGGCCAGATTTGAACTCATGAAGATGAGCCTTCCTGACTCCAGGCCTGGCGCTCTATGCACTAAATATGGCACCACCTAGCTGCCCCCTAGAATTGGACATACACATAAAAAAGCTAGTGAGATCCTACTCTCAATGACTCACACTTTTATTAGAGGAAACACATAAAAGAAAGTTTTCTTTCCCTCTGCAGGGCAGGTAGAAGAGCCACCGAATTCTAAGGTTATGTTGGGGGGCATTTAGCAAGGCCCAGAGCTCCTTAAGTTACTTAGGCACTCAAGACGACAGTCTGGAGGACTTGGAGATGGTAAGACCTGCAGGACCTTGGACAGCAGGGCTGAGGGTAAGGTCTGGAGGTCCTTTGTTGCATCCGAAGGAATGGAGATGGCAATCACATATCACCCAAATCCTATGAGTCATTAATTAGCCCAAACGAGGCAGTGAGGTACCTGGCAGTAGTGGTGGGGAGGGGTTCTTCCTGCCTGGCCATCCCTGGGGATGTTGGGGCCAGAGGAGAGAGGGCTGGGGTGGGGGGAAGCAAGATGGATCAGGGACCCCAGGTGGTTTTTCCGTGACATGACATGGACATGAGCAGGTTGTAATGTTTTACAAATAAGGAAATGGCCAAAAAGGGTGTAAAGAATGTCATCAAGAGAGAAAACTGATGGGGAAGATGCACTGGCCTCCTCTCGCCATCAACAGAACATGAGGCTACTAAGTCTATATCCCAAAGAGATTTTAAAAAAGTGAAAAGGGGGCAGCTAGGTGGCGCAGTGGATAGAGCACCAGCCTTGAAGTCAGGAGGACCTGAGTTTAAATCCAGCCTCAGACCAAACACGTGACACTTACTAGCTGTGTGACTCTGGGCAGGTCACTTAACCCCAATTGCCTAAAAGTAAAAAAAAAAAAAAAAAAAGTGAAAAGGACCCACATGTACAAAAGTATTTATAGCAGTTCTTTTTGTGGTGGCCAAGAACTGGAAATTCAGGGGATGCCCATCAATTGGGGAATGACTGAATAAGTTGTAGCATGTGATTGTGATGGAATACTATTGTGCTCTAAGAAATGATGAGCAGGACGCTCTCAGAAAAAACTGAAAAGAATTATGTGAACTGATGCCGAGTGAAGTGAGCAGAACCAGAACAGCGTACACACAGTAACAGCAATACCATATAATGATCAACTGTGAATGACTTAGCTCTTCTCAGCAATACAGTGATGCAAGACAATTCCAAAGGACTTATGGTGAAAAATGCTATCCACCTCCAGAGAAAGAACTCATGGAATCTGAATGTAGATCAAAACATATTATTTTTTTACTTTTGTGTGTGTGTGTGTGTGTTTTTCTTTTGGTCTGTTTCTTCTTTCACAACATGACTAATATGGAAATATATCTTACATGATTGTACACATATAACCTATATCAAATTGCTTACCATATTAGGGAGGAAGGAGTGATGGAGGGAGGGAGGGAGAAAATTTGGAATTCAAAATTTTTAAAAATGAATGTTTAAAAGATTGTCTTTACATGTAATTGGGGGAAAATGAAATACTATTTTTTAAAAAAGAGAATGTGAGGAAGGCCCCAAGAATGAAGGGTGTCCTCCCACCATGGTGTATTTGTGTACAAGAGTTGTGAACAAGAGTCTCAGACTGTCCCAGAGACATTTATTTCATTTAGAAAACCAAGGGCCTTGATCTGCATTACTAGTGGAAGACCCACATTGATAAGAGACCAGATACATTTGAATACAACTCTGGATACAGTTAACCTGAAGACTGGTTATAGTTTAAAATGACCTGACAGGATATGAAAAATTCACGAAAGTATGTGTATAAAGTTTTTCATATAAAAGATACATGTGCTAAATACAACATGAAAAGGGTACTTAGATCAAACCATAAGGAGGAGCCAAAAAGTCAGAGAGGCATATGGGCCATGGGGCTGGGTTCTCGTGCCCTTTGGGAAGGGCTGTAATCAGCATTGCGTGTTCTAGTTACAGAATGCTCTCACGGAGGACAGAACCCATCTCCCCATCTGGTATTCTGGTACATGGCTGTGCTCTGTGCATGACAACCACAGCCCACAGGGAGACATGGCCAAGTGTGAGGAGCAGACAGTACCATCCACAGCCTAGGAAACAAGACTCACCAAATTTCGGGCAATGAATCTCCAAGGTTAACTTCTGGATGCCTTCATAATCATGGGTCCAACAACTCACAGTTTTTCTTCGTAGTTCCTGAGAATGTATGAGTAGGTCACTTGATAGGTCATTAACACCACTTTTTAAAATAAGGGTCAATGCTGTGCTTGCTTAGTTCTTTAGCAGGGTCTCACAAGGGACTCCCATGTTTGATGATTCCTTTCCTTTTCTATCATGGGTGACTAGTTTAATTTACAAATGATACCATGAATTGCACATTTGGGCTGGTCAATAGACCAGAATTTCACCAGCCCAGAGCTCCAGAGTAAGAGGTGGGAGCTGATTCCAATTCATCTGCAATTCAATTCAGGTGTGGATGGAGTGCCTGCTGTATGAAAGTACCTGCAAATGCATTGAGTAGAAAATTGTTCCAAAGACCATTTATTAAGCATCTGTTGTGTCCAAGAGACTGCACTAGATGCTGAGGAAGACAAGGAAGGGGCAGTGATTTCTCTCCCTCTGGGGAAGGTAAAATGCACTGCCTCTACTCAAATACAACTCTTCTCACGAATGAGGGACCTGCACTCTCGTGTTCATAAATGGCTTCTGTGCCCCCATGTGCATGCACACACACACAAGTAATAGATTTGTGACTCTGACCTTTTCCTTTATATTCCATTATATTCCACAGACCAAAGGAACAGTGGGATGGATATTCTACTCAGATTATGAAATTATTTCAAAAGCTCCACCCATGTAAAGAATTTGGAAAGAATAAACTTTAAAGAGATTGCAAATTCCAATCAGGAAAGCCCAGCTTTTCCTCAGGGCACTTGGTTCTGTCTGTGATGTGGGAGAGACAACATTCAAAGAAACTGCGTACAATGATGCAATGAGAATTTGGTGTGCAGGTAAGCTTGTGGGTGTGCGCCTGGGCTAACCCTCAAACCTTTAAGGGCCAGCGGCCCGGAAGCAGTTTTTTGTTTTGAATCTGTTGTACCCCTAAGACTAGCCGTATTGAGGCAGAAAGGTCTAATTACAATCCAGCCCAGCCCAGCCTAGCCCAGTTTCAGCTTGCCTGCTGGCTCCCCTCTTCTCCTCAGGTGTTATCCAAACCTCAGATGATACCCATCAATGCCGCTTGCAAGCTACATTTAGACAAGTCACATGGCTATCATATCTTACACTGGCAGTATACACCTTAGACTGACTTCCTCAAACCCCCATTGCTTTTTTTCTAAAAGTCTATGGAGTCAATAATAGTATCAACTTTTATATAGCTACAATCTATTATAGATTAAAGTCAGATTGTTTAAATTAAGTCAAAATCATAAACTCTAAAATTGGGTGTCTCTTTTCTATTGTTCCGTGCATTTCACAAAAGCCGTACCTATCACTTTTGAAATGGTTCTCAAAACTTTTTTTCTCATGGCTTAGAAATGACATTTCCTTCCACAGTGGCTTTGGGCATCTGGCCCAGTCTTTCTGCTTTCCTTTCGAAGGTTCTGGATGATAAGGCTATTAGTTACCTCAGCAGGAGGCGGCAAGCATTAATTATCGTTGAACGAACCAATAGGGTATTCTCAATATATTCCTAGACCCATTGGCTGGCAGGGCCGCTGCTCATGTTGGCCTTCAAATTTGGTATTCCAAAGACTCCAAGCTGCCTCACAGGGAACATGTAATTAGAAATCTCGGAAGAGACAGTCACACCATTCTGCTCTCCATGAAGAAAAGAGGAGTGTAGTTTCCAGGAGTCTGCTGAGGGCCAACTGAAGGATTTCTACAAATATCCATTAAGTGGCTCATTGGTATAAGGCCCAGAACTACAACTCACTGGCTCCTTCTTTTCCTTCCTGGGACTCAGTCTTACAGGGAAAATAATTGGAAAATGTAGGTTTTGCAATTTTAAAAAGGCACAACATTCTATGGAAATTCAGGAGCAGGAGAGATGACTCTATTTGAAGGGATTGGGACATTTTAATAGTGAAGGTAGCTTCTGAAGTGGGCTTTAAAGCTTGGGTAGGAACTAGGCAGGTGCATCTCTCGGTGGAGAGGACAGCATGGGGAGAGGGGCAGGAAAGCGCTGGACATGTTGAGGGAACATGGTGAGCAGTCCAATTCAACTGGGCTATGAGGTATATGAAGGTAACGAGTAGGAGAGAAGATGGGAAAGGTAGGCTGTGACCACTTCTTAGTCCTTGAATGGCAAGCTAGGAGTTTGGGCTTTATTTGGTAGGTGACAGGGGACCATTTGATAAGTTTAGGATGAGGCTCCTGGGGGGTGGATGGGGATGAAGAAGTGGCCCGAGATGACGGGTCCTTTATGCCTTAAGACCTTAGCACATCCAAGGTCCCACAGATACAGGTACACCCTCTGATGGAGATGGTGTCAACTTGTTCCCTTTTCTCTCTCCATGAGGGTCCCACCCACATGCTGGAGGCTTCCTCTGGCTCTGTTAACATGCCATGTGTCCCTTGCCTCCCATGGGCTGCCCATTGGTCATTCCTCAATATGATTGGCCCGAGTCCTTTCATGATCATGAATTTCCTCAATGGTGGGTTTTGGCAGCCATTATTGATGGTGTCCTGTAACTTAAATACGACCATCACCATTTCTTTGAGAGGCAGTGTGCAGGGCCTTGCTTTGAGGCCAACCTCTGACACCTACTAACTGTATGCATCCTGCAAAACACTTAACCTCTCAACACTCTGGGCAATAATTTAAGACTAGAAGTTGCAGAGAAGGGGCTGCTGTGCATGAAGAGACAGAGTTTCCTCACTTGGCAGTTCTCTGTACCAATGAGATGTCTGGTCTAGCCCCTATCCCTATGTTATAGATTTTTTCCATTGCCCCAAGGTCCATCTGCAATTTTAATTCTTTGGAGAATATTAAGTTCCATGATTCACAGACAGATGTGTGTGTGTGTGTGTGTGTGTGTGTGTGTGTGTGAGTGTGTGTGTGTGTGTATACGAGAGACAGACAGAGAGACAGAGAGACAGAGAGACAGAGAGAGACAGAGAGACAGAGAGAGACAGAGACAGAGACAGACACAGACAGAGACAGAGACAAACAGACAGAGAGAGTGCACAACTTGGATTTATTGAAAATCCTCAGTAATTTCCCAAATGCAATCCCCCTCAATCTATTTCTGTTCAATTCCAGCCCCACCTCCTTGTGAATCTGAGGCATGGGTCCAAGACAGACACACTATCAGCATGGATAGACCAGAACAATGAACTGCTCCATGCAACTACAATACACTTTCTCAAACTAGTCTCTCTGGGTTTGGAAGAGTTGTGGATATCACTAAAGAGGCTTCAAAAATAAAACTAAGAGCCCCTTTCCACAAAAAAGAAAAGAAATAACAGATAAGCCATTAATCAATGTGTTTTTTCTAAAGAAATAACAAATTAGTAGTATTAAAAATGAAAAAAGGGAAATTCACAACCAATGAAGAAATAAAAGCAATTATTAAGAGCAATTTCACCCAATTATATGCCAAGAAATGAACAATCTAATGACAACCTAAATGAAATAGATGAATATTTACAAAAATATAAATTGTCCAGATCAACAGAACAGATAATAGAATGTTTAAGTAATCTTGAATTAGAAAAAGAAACTGAATAAGACACAAATGAACTCCCCCCCCCAAAAGGAGCAAATACATTTACAACCAAATTCTACCAAATATTTAAAGAACACAATCCTAATGCTACATCAAGTATTAGGAAAAAATAGGTAAATAAGGGGTCCTACCAAATTCTTTTTATGACTCAAATATGGCCTTGATAACTAAACCTAGGGAGAATCAAAACAGAGAAAGAAAACTATAAAACTATATTCATTGTAGTAGAAATGCTAGCTATAGTAATGACAAGAAAAAGAAATTGAAGGAATAAGTATAGGTAAAGAGAAAGCAAAACTATCACTTTTTACAGATGATATGATGGTTTACTAAGAGAACCCTAGGGAATCAACTGAAAAAATTTACTGACATTATTAATAACTCTAACAAAGTTATAGGATCGCAATTAAACCCGCATCAATCATCTGCATTTCTGTAGATTACTAACAAAATCCAGCAGGCAGAGATAAAAAGAGACATTCCATTTAAAATAACTACAGACAGTATTAAATCTTTGGTAGTTTACCTGCCAGTACAGGCAGTATTACAGACCGTACAGGAACTATATGAACACAATTACAAAACATTCTTTACACAAATAAAGACAGATCTAAATAACTGAAGAAATGTTAATTGCTGATAAATATGCAAAGCTAATATAAAAGTTACAATACTACCTAAATTAATTTCTTTATTCAATGTCATAACAAACTACCAAAGGATTACTTTGTAGATATAGGGAAAACAATAATAAAATTCATTCATAGGAACAAAAATTTAAGAATATCAAGGGAATTAATGAAAGAAATGGGGAAAAAAGGGTGCTATATACTCTACTATGAAGTCATAATTATCAAAACAATCTGGCACTGGATAAGAAATAGATAAGTTAATGAATGGAAAAGGTTAGGTACATTATATATAGAAGCAAATGAGCACAGCAAACACAAACAGTATTTGATAAACCCAAAGATCCCAGCTATTGTATCAAGAACACATTATTCAACAAAAGCTGCTGGGAAAACTAGAAAGCAGTCTGATGAAAACTCTGTAGAGGCCAACACCTATACCATACACCAAGGTAAGATCCAAATGGGTACATATAATATCAAAAGCAAATTAGAGAGGCATGGGAGAAATTACCTGTCATATGTATGTATAGGGAAAAAAAAATCATGACCAAGCAAGAAATAGAGAGGTTCACAGGAGGTAAAATTTACAATTTTGATTACATAAAATTAAAAAGGTCTTGCAAAAACAAAACAAATGCAACTAAAATTAGAAGAAAAGCAAGAAACTAGGAAATCTTTACAATAAGTTTCTGTGATAAAGGACTAATTACTAAAATATCTAAGGAATTAAATCAAATGTATAAGGAAAAGATCTATTCTCCAATTGATAAATGGTCAAAGGATATGACTAAGCAGTTTTCAGAGGAAGAAATCCAAACTATCAATAGTTATA